TCTTCTGCTCCTGGGCGGGAGCGGGAGCGGGCTCGGAGGACTCGTCAGGCTTGCTGGCCTCGGGCTTGGACTCCTCCTTCTTGGGCGCAGGCTTCTCGCCCTCAGGGGCGGCGCCAGTCTCAACGCGCGCGAGCTTCTGTCCAACCTCGACGGTGTCGCCCTCAGCGACGAAGAGCTCGACAATGGTTCCCTCCTCAGAGGCGTTGACGGCAACGTCGATCTTGTCGGTCTCGATGCTAGCGACCTCCTCATCGACCTCGACACGGTCGCCGACCTGCTTCGACAGAGAGGCAATGGTGCCCTCGGTGATGGACTCGGCCATGGGAGGGACGACGATGGTCATCTCGCCATGCTGAATGCGGGTGGAGGAGAAGGAGCGGTATTGCGACGAGGTCAGAGCAGGGTAGGAAGCTCGGGGTATCGTTCTCGTGGCGATGGATCGGGCGGCGGTCGTTTTTGAGGCGACGTTGGGGGAGATGTGAAGGCGGGCTGCGCCGGCGATTCTCGACGTCGTGGAGGGCCTGGCCAGGCGGCCGGCGGTCTGGAGCTGGGAGCGCATCATCTTGGAGGTTGAAGGTTGAATGAGCGACTCCTCAAGATCAGGGGTGCATCGAAGGGCGGCTTGGGAGAGGTGTTGAACGAGTTGGTGACTGTGTTGCGAACAAGAGGGTCTGGAAACGAAGCAAAATTGGCGAGGCAAAATTGGGCAAAGAGCTCTGCCGTGACGGGTGACAGAATGCGCCGCCGCTTTACTGGGGGTAGCTCCTTCCTACTTGAACTGTTTTGGGGCCTGGTGACCCTGCTAAACATAGCAGTGCCAAGCTTAGAAGGTCCTTGTGATCACAAATGCAGCCTCTATCATTTCACGAATCAACTCTACATTTTCTACACCATTAAATAAAATCATCCATAGATACCATTCCCATCTTTTACTCCTATTCTCTCTCTGTCTACTTCAAGAATGTCGATTTCCTTAAAGCAGCCCGCCGTTGTGGGAAGAAATCGGAAGCTCCGTGGCGCCGGCTGGTCCCTGCTTTCAAAAGACGTTGCGTCATTGGCCAATCGCCCTTTCGCTTCCGAGATTTTGACAGCGGCCGGAGGCAGGGTACGTACCGCCCCGTCTTCACGCCCGCCGACCTGCAGGGGTTTTCGGCTTCTCTTACTCATCCCCTACACTGTACCCGGCCAGACGGCTTCTTACCCTCCGACCCCTAAGCTGATCGCCCCTGTTGTTGTTTATCTTCGGTAAATCGTTTGTACGCGGTGGGGTTTGCGCGTCTTAGTCATCGATCATCAGCGGGTCCTCAGCACGTTTTTGGTCAAAATGGGGTTTCGGCCGCAACATCCGACGCTTACTTTTTCGTGGCTGCATCGGATGCATCCGATTTGACGAATTGGTCTGATCAACACGAACTTGACCGCGACGCTGAACAACTTCATCATATCTGCGCCAAGGAAGGCGTCGTTGTTGCCCAGCATGGAATCCAGACAGATACCTCCGCTGTCTGGGTAGTATTTATAAGCACATTCTTTTGGACCATCTTCTCACCAGATCCCTACGCGCCGTTGAAGTATTAGTATCTGCGTCAGGCGGCTAAATTCTCACTTCAACACCAGGAACAATTCTTTCTCCCAATGTTGTGAAAAGACACAAACAAGAACAGAAACCGAAATAGTGACCAATTGCGAACAAGCCAACTCTGATTTGCTCCTAAGGGAACACGAGGGTCATTTCTCCTAAAACTAAATGTTGGAGGCTTGGTCTTCTCAGCTTGCAGCAGGGAGTTTATAGGTTATACCTAAACGCCTTGTCCTGCACGTCCGTCAAGTCCGAATCAACAGCGACACCCATTTGCACCGCCTGTTCCCCTCCATCATGTCCGCCAACCATGTACTCATAGCGCCCCTCACCAGCAAGCCTATCCCTCTTGGCATTCTCCTTCTTGATCGCGAACCCGTACACCGCGTACGTCACGATCAACGCGACCCAGCTGGCGATACTAAGGATGCAGCCCTTGGTGTACCTTGGCGCGTCCGACTCCGTCCACGCCTGCGGCGAGACGATACATCCGATGCAGTACACGATGAAGAAACCCGCGCTGACCACGCTCTTCTTGGTGTTACCCTTAACGTTTGATGCCATCATGGCCGCCGACGAGCTGAGGAGCGAGCTGCAGCAGGCGGCAAGCCAGGTGCTCGCCACGATGCCCCATTCATAGCCTTTCGCCGGAAGCGCGAGCAGCATCGTAGAACCTAGCAAAGGGACCAAACACAGACTCATGGAGGTGTAGACTCGGGTGCCAGGAAAAAACCTTGGCACAAGGGCGGCCACCCAGATCGTGACGAAGCTGATGGCACCACCGGGGAGGCCAACCAGCATGGTCTGGAAAGGTGAGTATCCAAATCCGTTGACCACAAGTGACGAAAACTGTTCAAAGTCAGCCTCAAGTCTTCGTCCAAACCCCACAAAACGTACCTTCAGAATCGGAGTTGTCAACGTGATGCAAAGCGCCATCATGAAATACATCCACACCATCGGCTGCTTCAGCGCCTCCGTCATCTGTTTCGAATTAAACTCCGCGCGATCCCTCGTCCCACGGTCAACCGCCAACCGCAACGTCGCCACCTTCCTCTCCCTCTCATTCAAAAACCACGCCGTCGTCGTATCCCTCGGCATCATCACGCAAAACACCATACCACACGCCGCCGTCAACCCACCACTAAGCAAAAACATCGCCCTCCACTTCTCGATAACCATCTCCTTCGCGCCGCCGATGCCGTACATCATCAGCGCGCCGAGAATCTGGCTCACGCCCGACATGGACACCCACGTGGCCACGCGGATCGGGTGCTCGCGGCGGCGGTACCAGTTGGACGTGATGATGATGAAGGCCGGGGAGACGGCGCCCTCCGCGAAGCCGAGGAAGAAGCGCGCGGCGGCGAGGGTGTGGAAGTCGCGGGTTGCGCCGAGCGTCATTTCGACGCCGCCCCAGATGATGATTGTCACGCCGACGAAGAGGGTGATGGGGAGCCGGGACATGAGGTAGGCGGCCGGGTACTCGGAGCACAGCTGGCCGAAGTAGAAGAGGGAGATGACCCAGGAGAAGTCCTGTCCTGTGAGGCGGAGGTCTTTGCGGAGGCCGAAGACGGAGGCGTAGTTGATGGATTGTTTGTCGAGGTCTGTTGAAACTCGTTGTTAGCAAGAATGGCAGAGAACGTAGTTGCCAAAGGGCGCAATACATTGGAAGAAATAGACGAAAGCCATCAGAGGCATCAGAACTCTGTCGAGCTTCCGCACGAGAGCGCGCTCCTCTTCAGGGCTGATTTGCTCAAACGCAACGTGCTCTTCATCTTGTTTCTTCGTCATCTCAAGCTCCTCAGCCGTTGGGGCGAGCTGAGCATCGTCCGGCTTGGTTGCCATTGTTTTGTTACGGTGAAGTTTCGAATTGATGTTGTTTCACAAGGTTGTCTAATACGGTGGGTTGTGGACTTCAGGGTGCGCGGCTTGTGGAAAGTTTTAACGACGTCCTCACCAACGAAACCTGGGAGGTGTGAAGACCAAAACTCCGAGTTTGAAAGAGCTGGGCCTGTTATATACCTGATGGAGTTGTCGAGCGGGTCATAGACAAAACGGCAACTTGGTATGCGCAGAGACCCCTAAACCCCGGATCTGTACAACGCGGGGGGTTGCCCCAGGTCTCTCCGCACATCCGGGGAAGTAGCCGCGCCCACGGAACTAGCCAAGAACTGGCATGAGTCTTCGTCGCTTGTTTCTTCTAGGGTAAGTGTGGAGGAAGTCTGGAGATTGGTGTCGCTTGTTGAAGCCGAAGCTATTCCATGGTACGTGGCTGTTTTCGGTCATGATATCCGAGGTGTCAGGAGCTACAACGAGAGTGGCAACACATTTTGTCGTAGTGGCGTATCCCTTGTCCCCACGTCTTAAGCGAACGAATGCGAACTCATACCTAGGATGAGCTCAAGCCCGCTGAGCAGTGTGAGCCATGGTGAACAGTCTGGAAGATACCTGAGAACACCATCGTGCAGCGTCAATGCAACGTCAACATCCCCAACTAATTCAGAATTACGTTCTCAAGGCCGGGAGCCTTTTATAATCGTACTAATCCCAGATTGTCTGGCATAAACATAGTGCAAACGAGCATCCACTTGAAAGCTGTGAAGATACATGACTTTCACCCAAACCATTGTTGCATGGATCATTCATGGCTAAGTACACTCCAGAACACCTGAAACCATTTCCGAGCCTTCTGACCTTGAATACCGGGATCTTTGCTGCTGCTGAACTAACGAAGGGGAGACAAGCCCGTAAAGCCTTCCGTCAGCGTCTGCAACTATGGCAGACAATCACAGTGACGGACGTTGTTAATGACATGACGTCGTTAATGACATGGTCATACGGGTACTCAACGAGGATCTGAATGATCTAGCACCTAGGCTTGTGAAACGCAGCTCGATGAAATACTATCTTGTACCCAATCCAATTGAATCCTTAGCCATCGAAGATCCGGAGTCATAAGCTAGGGATGTACCAGAAGCACGTGACTCACTTTCGCTAGCAGACTGATAGTGGCTCAATCTTTGAAGCTCTAGTGATGATCAAAAGTATCATGCATGAAGCCCAAGCAGCGTATGGACATAAGTAAGGAAGCGATTCGCGCAGAATGAAAAGATACTCCGGCAAAGGTAAAGGAATGCTAGGTCTTGCAGTAACCGGTGCCGGAAAATCAACATACCGTGCCGCCAGAATAGTCAGACCAGTGGAAGCAGCGATCATGCAGAAGCTGTGGGGCAAAGAAACAACGCATATTCACATGACCAATGGCGGTCTCTGGTGAAGCGCCAGCCTGATTTCCTGTCACACGCAGAGTCGGGCAAACGGACGTGGCATTGCATCCCACACATTATTCCTCCATGACCATATGACCACCGTGCTTCCTGTGAGGCAAACGTCTCTGACGGCGACAGACCTCCAATGAACCAGTATGGTGCGTCAAGCTCAGACTCTCCGTCGCGAGGACTTCCAGATCGCAGTCATTTGTGCGGTAGGCTGCGAGTACGACGCTGTGACCTTCATATTTGACGAGATCTGGGACGGAGCTGAGATTCAGCTGGGAAATGCACCCGGAGACTATAACAAATATAAGATCGGCCGTATCGCAAACCGCAATACCGTCCTACTTCTTCTCCCGGGCATGGGCAAAGTCAACGCCGCAAGCGCAGCGGCTAATCTCCGATCGAGCTTCAATGGAATCGAGCTAGCTATCTTAACTGGAATTTGTGGAGGGGTGCCAGGAGTCGGGACCGACACGGAACTTCTGCTTGGAGACGTGGTCATCAGCAGAAGCATCGTGCAATATGACCTGGGACGACTTTATGCGGACAAGTTCGCCACAAAAGATACAATCGAGGACAGCCTTGGGAGGCCCCACGAGAGTGTTCGCTCCCTGACTGCCGTTTTCGCGACAAAGTCAGGGCGCAGCATTTTGCAGCACCGAACGAGCCAGGTCCTTCTGGACATTCAAGCTAGGACAACCCAGGAAGGAGGAGTATATCAACGTCCTGCGACATATGAAGATCGCCTTTTTGAGCCGGGATATCTCCATAGACACCATCGTTCTGGTCACTGTGGATGCAGCGAGCTTGGGGCGTGTGACGAAGCAATGCAGGCTTCTTGCGAAGAGCTCCAGTGTGATTCGTCATATCTCATGCCTAGGAGTCGCTTCGGGAAGCGCAATCCTCAAGATTTGGAACGTGACCACGGGGCAGAGCCTGAGCTTCGTGTGATCGTTGGTCGTCTTGGAACAGGCGACACTGTTATGAAGTCCGGGTTGGATCGTGACAGGATTGCTAGGGAGCAAGACCTCGTTGCCTTTGAAATGGAGGGAGCCGGTATTTGGAACCAATTCCCTTGCATCATCGTCAAGGCAGTCTGTGACTACGCAGACAGTCATAAAAACAAGAACTACCAGAATTTCGCCGCAGCAAGGGCAGCCTCCGCAACAAAGGCTATCCTGGAAGCTTACCCATACACAGACAAATCAAAGAGATGTAAGCAATTCATTTGAAGTCCACTGAACTCGCTGACAAGGTGCAGCCCTCGCTAGGTATGCTATCATCTCAGGCAGTAACCGGCAAACACAATCGGAAAACTGGCCAGACGAACGAGAACATGATGAGCACCATAGAAAGCTTCTGGGATTACTTGCCACAGACCATGAAGCACACAAGAACTTCAACGTGAAGAATGTCCGTGGCACGTGCGAGTGGTTTCTCAAGGACCGAAAGTATCACAAGTGGCTCCAAAGCGCTGGATCAAGTATCATCTGGGTCTCTGCAGGTCCTGGCTGTGGGAAGTCCGTGCTAGCACGAGCTCTGATTGACGATGGGCGGCTTTCCGCATGCCCTGAAAACCCAACGATCTGCTACTTCTTTTTCAAAGACGGTGACGAGCGCCGCATCAACAGTTACGACGCATTGTCCGCAATCTTGCATCAACTGTTTACCCAACAACAAACTGATTCATTAATCTGCAAGGCGGATAGTGCTTTCAAGAACTATGGAGACACGCTGCGAAGTAACTTTCACCAGCTCTGGAAGATCTTAGTTGATTGCGCGAGTCATTTTAAATCTCGCGAAATTGTCTGTGTGCTCGATGCTTTAGACGAATGCAGTGCGCAAGGCCGTCGGGAGATACTTCAAGCGCTCGACTCCGTCGGTAAGGTATATTACTCATCATTGAGGCTCAAGTTTCTCATCACAAGCCGGCCATATGATGATCTGGAAGTGTCGTTTGACAAAATCGCTACTGCGAAATCGTATATTCGATTCGACGGCGATGATAAGTCTGAGGAGATTCACCGGGAGATTGACCTTGTGATTGATCACAAGGTCAGCGAGTTCGGGAAAGATTTCCGAGAAGAACACCGCCAGGCCATTTCAGATCGGCTTAAGGCTATGGAGAACCGCACTTATCTTTGGCTCCATCTTACTCTCAGTATCATTGACGAAAAGCGAAGCGCATACCGCAAGCCCTCGAGCATACAGACACTGCTATCGCGTCTTCCATCTTCCGTCGATGATGCTTACGAGAGGATTCTTAGCCGCAGCCAGAACCAGGAGCAGGCAAAATGCCTTCTCAGCATTATTCTTACTGCCACACGCCCTCTGAGTCTCGAAGAGGTTAATTACGCCCTCACTGCACAGGAAAGGAACTTCAGAAATTTTGAAGCGTTCGAGGATGACATGTGGCCCAGTGACGGTCTTAAAACTACGGTGAAAAACCTTTGTGGCCTATTCATCAATGTCTTCGAGGAGAAAGTTTCGTTCATTCACCAAACGGCGCGTGAATTTCTCACCACGAAAACTGAACCACCAAGCACTTGGAAGGGAAGCTTTGACATGAATTTTGCACACGGAAAGATGTCTATCTCATGCATTCGTGTGTTATCATTGCACGAACTAGCCCCGATCCACTGGTCGGCCGCGGAGTTTCACCATCTGGCGCCACGTTTCATGCGATACGCTGCTCGCAACTGGATACTACACTACAACTCTCAGGATACTCTAACAAGAAACCAATATGCTCAAGCTGCTCGTGAACTGTGCCGTACCGCATTCGGAGTAGCACCGGTGTGGGCCAGGTATTCAGGGGGAGGCTACGGCGGTGGGGATTATCGGCAACACCTATGGGATTGTACAGATCTCACACTTGCAAGCTGCTTCGGTCTGCTGAAGGTAGTTGAGTGCATTGTCAAGGAAGATAAGATTGATGTCAACTCGGAAGGAGGATTTTTCGGTACGCCAATCAAGGCTGCAGCTGCAGCGGGCCATTGCGAACTTGTTCAAGCACTAGTTCGCTATGATGCCGATTGCGATACTGGAGGTGGTTTCTTTCAGACAGCTCTCGTAGCTGCTGTGGTTGGAGGACATTCCGAGATAGCAAAATATCTCATCGGCATCGGGAATCGATTCCCTGTTGAATTTTTGATTTCAACTGCACGCAAGGAATTCTACAGATACTCCATGGAAGATCTGATAAGAGACTACGGTGAGGGAATTAAGATCACGAAGGAGGTTATCAAAATTGCAGGAACATACCCTTCTAGCCGAGAGGACAGTGTAATCTTGTTAATGCAGCAGCTCGGACACGCATTCATCACTACGGAGGACATGTTAGAATGCGCAGTTGCAAATCCTGTTTTGGGAGGGAAACTCACTCGTCTCTTTTTGGAAAGAAACGAGGATCATTCAAGTGTTACGTCGTCAGTTGTTGAGAGTGCAGCGCTTGGAGCCTGTGGAATGGAGACTTTGAAATTGCTCCTGGAGAAGCGTGGGGACGAGATTGAGATCACGCAAAGGACTATCATCAATGCAGCTAAGAACAAAAAGTGTGGGATAGAAGTCATGGAGTTTTTAATGGAGAAGCGCAAGGATGAGGTGAAGATAAGTCGGGATGTTGTTATGGCTGCAGCTCAGCATGGGTCGGTGAAGACGATGGAATTCGTCTTGGACGAATACGATGGGGCATTCGAAGTTACAGCGAAACTCATTCTTGCTGTAGCTGAGAATGATTCTAACGGAGACGACATCATGACTTCTCTGATCAAGAGATATGGCGATGTGGTTGTACTAATCTCGTTAGAGATTATTATGCTAACAGCAGGGTCTGCATTTTTCAACGATGCTTTGGTCATATTACTAGACGATGATGAGATCATGGAAGCTGGTACTATAGTTGTGTCTGTGCATGGGAGGAATGAGGGACAACTGGATCTTCTACTACAGAGTTCGGAGGCCGTGGTAAATATCAAGCAAAAAGTTGTTGCGGCCGCAAAAGGGAATCCCCAGCTGCTGCTGGAAATTCTTAGGGCAGGCTGGCTCTGATGCCACCTGAAAGAATTGGTAGGCGAATAGAAATAGCAGTGAGCCACCACTGGAACTGACAATGGGAGGAGCTGTAGTATTTCCACGATCACATGAAGCGGAACATGGGAAAATGTTTACTACATCATCATCATCAAGTAAACTGCATAAAATCAAAACGACCAGAGTGGTGTGTATTATCTTCTGGATGTAAAGTCCCTAGCTACCTTATACAGATGTAATGGTTTTACCATTACCTGTGACGCAACGCTGTTTGCTTTTCGCTTGAAACGACGTCACATTTCTTCAATTTTCATAACATTTCGTAGAGGGCTTTCCCATATTATAATCTGGCCGAGTTTGAGCGAGTGAGCACCAACAGGTCGTTACGAGAGATCCGGTCTGCGTCGCAATAAGGTTCTCTGGAGCTACCTCTGTGGAGTTCGTCCCTTCATCATACATCACTGACATCTTGATCTGTCTGAGCCCATGGTGTCTATATGGTATTAAGCCCACCGCCTACCAAAAAGTCTGACTCATGTATTATTTCACGGCTGGTTCCCCCACGGGATCTGATTCTCCAATGCCTCCCAATCCGTCTGCTCAACGCCTGTAAATGAGAAGCCAGGTGTATGGTAAACCCAGTATAAGCTATTCTCCCCCTCCAACGGAATGCTAGCCAAGTCTGCGCCGCTGAATCCCAAGCTCTGGTGATCATCCCCACCACAGGCCTCGGCCCCGCCCACATCTCCGGATCGCGAACGCGGCCTCTCCATAGCATTGAGTGAAGCTGTGATTTGTTCAACGACCCCATAGCCGCTCTCAAACGAGAAAGGCTTTGCCAACATGTCCGTCAATGACTGCTGGGGTGTTTGCCCAGTACCATGCTGCACAGGTAACGCTAGGTGCACACACATCTGGTCCAGCTCAGCGAGCCGATTCGCCGCTGCACGGTTCCCCAGACCGACTAGATATCTGAGGATAGATCTGGATCCGTCAATTCCCTTGAAACCCAAATTCTTCCCTGGATTGATAGCCTCGACTAGCACGAAGATGTACCCCACTGAGAAGGTAGCATCCAGATCGTGAAAGGCATTCTTTGCTAAAACTTCTTTCTTTCGGAGTTCCTGGAGAATCACGAGAGTCTTACTGGCTGTCTCAACACATATCTCGGCGAGTCGTACCAGAGCTGGGCTGACTTCATTTCGAGCGTCTTCGCGTTCTGGGTCCCGGCTGTTGCGAGCCATATACAGCAGAATGGGTCTGACGGTATGTATGACAGCCTGCCAAATTTAGTTAATAAGGCAGTGGCTATATATTTTAAGGTCTCTCACCATATATACAGATGTATACAGACTCGAACTAGTCCTTGAAGTTGTGGTTGGTGCGTCCATGAACGGACGCCCAGCGACGAGCACGCCTGCTGGCCTGATCTCCATAAAGTACTCAGACGGCATCGTCTTCTCGACCTCGTAGAGGGAGTGAAGAATATTTTGTACATTGTTGACAAACGTAATCTCGGGGTCGTCTTTCTGAGAGTAGATGGCTACCAGCGCATTAGTACTGAGACTCCGCCCCCTAACTGGCTTCAGAGGGACATACTCGACGTGATTCTCCCAGTCAGTCTCGCTGTCTTGACGTTGACACCCAATGCTGTTGCCGACGGAAAGCCGAGAATTTCGTATGGTGGGGCTGTGGTGATGGCGTAGTCTTCGATGGACATGGGATATCCGCCAGCCGCACATAGTCTCCTGGGGCGTTCTCAGCGAACCAATTTCTGCTCAACCTACAGTTGGGACATACCTTTCCTGCATGTAGACAGACCACCAAAGCTTATTACGATGCACGTTATCTGACCGCCTTAGACATGGCGCTGAGTTTGCCCTGTGCATGCCATGACTGATGGCGAGCCTCAGCGCAGTGTTAGACTACGACGGCCCATCGTTAGTGACTGTATCTGTAAAGCTCAGTATTTCATCAACTCACATGCAAGTAGGCATCATCTTTCCGGTCAGCAATTTGGAGGTAAAGAGCTGTCAAAGCCATCACCTCGACTCCAACAATACCATGCTTCCTCAAATCACTTAGCAAAGGAGTCCGCTCGACTGCCTCCTGAAAGAACCTCGTCCCTGGAAGATCCCCATTTTCATCATCCCTACTTTGGAGTAGCCTACCCACAGCAAATACCAAAAGGGCTTCCACAATCCAGATCTCAGTAAGCCTCACATTTGCGCTGGTTTCTTGGTATAGCACGGCGAGGTTATCCGAGAACGCTCGGACATCAAATAATTGCTGCGAGATGCCAACATTGAAGACGACAGTGTCCAGCATTGCATGCGCCTCCTCTTCCGGGGGCCAAGGACCAATAGCCTCAAGTAAGCCGCGACGGTCAATGTGCGGAAGTGGAGTCACGCCTGTGTTCGTCGATGGGCTGGCAGCGGAGCCAGGGTTCGAGCGGGAGACCAGAAGTGTCTTGATTTCGGAGCCGAATGTCTCGGACGAGGAGAGCGCTGATTCCGGAGCAATGGCTGTCGGAGTCAGTATCCGAGGATCGACAACTTGTGCAAATGGAAAAATGTGATAGGTCCACTCACCCCTTGCAGTTCGCGCTGGTGAGGACGTGGGCGCGGGCAAGACCTCCACGGCGCGTATCCTCTCAAACGTGGGGGAGAACGTGGGCTGAGACATTGAAGGGCGAAGATCTTCTGGAGAAAGCAAGCTCACTGAGATGCAAGAGTCCTCTTGCGGACCCCCACGCGCGACATGAGGCGTTTCCGCCGCCTCGTCTGGAGGCATATGCCACCCAGGCGATGCCGGCTGTGGTGATGCCGTTCCCGGGGCGGACTTTTCTCGGTTTTGTCGTTCATAGAAGGCGACTTTGTCTTCAAGTTCCCTGACTTGTCTAATTCGTTCAAGTTTCAAATCAGCATAGTCTCTTATCGAAGCGCCTCATATTTGATCGGGTATGGGAGTAGGAGAATGGGACCTACGAGACGGAATACAGCTTCCTCTTCTCCGACGCCGCAAACACACAATTCAGCCCGCGCTTCGCACAATACTTGCATGGCCGTTGCCCCGAGCACTTTACCTTCTTGTCGCGGCAGATTTGGCACGCATTGGACGTGCGAGCAGCCTCGGCTTGAGAAGCCGAACGAAAGCGTCTCGCGGCCGGGGCACTGGCGGGCGGGCTGGACGGTTTGCGGGTTCCTCGTCGGGGCGTCGGTTCCGAGTCGACGTCCATGTTTGGCAGGCTTCCTGAAGCTCCGCCGCGCCAAGGAGCGATTGCAGTTCAGATCAGTCTGGGGAAGCGGGTGTTGTGGTTTGTTTTTGTGTGAAAGGGAGACGCATCCGTGGGACTGTTGTCAATGGGATGGACGATGTCGGAAAGCCGCCAGCGGTGGGGCGGAAGCCTTAGAGGCGCTAAAAATCGGGGCTGGTAGGGGCTACGAGCTTTGGGAAATTCCCCCTCTGGAGGGATGCGCGACGTCATGAGCCTTCGCTAGAGAGACAGACTCACACAGCAAAGGATGCATATTTGCCATGAATCTCTAAGTTCTATTTTTTTTTTTTTTTTTTCAAATCTGGTAACGCAAATAAAGAGCAATTGCGGACCACTCAAACTAATACTCCTACTCCGTATGCCAAATGTGGAGTGTTCATCCATCCTTTCATCGTTCATTTTATCAACATCCAAGTAGTCGTCAAGCTTTGTGACTTCCGAAATAGTTGCTCGGATGCTTGTCTCGAGTCTCTCCAGGTCTATCACCTCAGTGTCGTATTCGCAATTTGTCCTGGCCATTCTGCCGACGTTCTTGATCTCTCTTCATTTTAGCTGCGATAACTTATTCTTGTAAGCAAAGCCCTCTATCATGGCCCTCTATTGTTATTGTTCTGCTCCTTCTTGCTAAGGTGTACTGTCCTTGTTGTCTTGCTCATTTGTGTGCGGATTCATCGGTCGATTCGCATATCGCGTACATTCACTGTCGTTGCCTCGACTTTATCTGATGCTTATTGAATCCATCGACATCCATCAGAATGCGCCCATCGACATTGCGCTTCACCTCGTCCATGTCAGCAATCGCGTTGCCTTTGTATGTGCAGCACTCCACGCCGAGGCCCAGCCCCTTTTTGGCCCTCTCCAGCAAACGTCGGCGCACATTTTCGGGTCGTGATGAAATTCGGTCGGATAACATTCCAGTCCACGAATTGGCTTGTTCCCGGAGAACTCATGGATGGAAATCTCGTGGACCATCCAGACGAAGAACTCTCCATCGAATCTGAGCGCTTCACCGTAGATGACAAGGTCTGTGCCAGATTCCGACTTCTTGTACGAAGTACCCACAACCCTGAAGACCATTTTGGTGTTGCAGTCGCTGCTGCGTACCATGGTCCCGTTGGGGAAATAGGTCCATGCGAGATCGAAGTTGACTAGCCCTCTGGCTTTGAGTTGGTGTGATTGCTTCCTCGTCTCTCCTAGTATGTCGTTAAGCGTAGTAAGTAGGTTTTCCAGATACACCTTCAACGAGTCATCATTCGTACTTTCGCACAGCCCAACTATCTCCTCGTAGCAGAAGTACAATGGGCGGAAGGGCGAATAAAAAACGATAGGGCCATTGTCGTCAAGATGGAAGCCTTCGTTCTCCAGTATCAGTCCCAAGATCTCTATCAAGGCTGGATGCTGTATTGTAATCTTTTGACAAGTAAATGGAGCTTTTCCGTTAATCGCTGCCTTGTCTTTATCCTCGACCATTAGAACATCGACGGCGGGCTGAAATTTGCCTTGATCCCACCTCTTGCCCATTTTTATCGGAGTATGGCCGGCCAATGAATAGACGGTAGAGACATGACGATCCTCCGCATACTTGGTGGTCTTGACGATTGTATGAGCGGGATATCTCTGTGGTACGTCACTCGGAGGGTCGACATATCTATGCGTGGCCTTCGTTTCTGGAATGCTGCGGCGCCTCTTGTTCTTGGGCCTGATCTTGCGGATCAGCATCAGCGTCTTTATCGTTGCGAGTAAATCCATCTTTCCAAAAGACGACAGTGAGTTGGCGAGAAATACTCTGCGGCGCGAATAGTATGCGGGTGAGCACAAATGATCCGATGGTATTTTGATGACGAGGAATGGATGGAGGGGGACGGACATCAGAAGTGGTTTTGTACGTAAGTGTAAGGTAAACAGACTCAAAGAGGTTCTCACACCTTGCAAAAAGTATCAAAACTAAACCTTGAAACCTGCGGATGACCAAAAAGGTTCCTCCTGTAGGGTTAGGGCTGCAAACTGGTGTTCGTGAAATCTCGGTAGGACCAGGTAAGAGGCGGGCGATGGTCAGTTTGTGACGCATTGGTATCTATTGCTATCGACTCGATCAGACTACGAGGGATAGCCATCGACATGTAGGTTGGAACACTTCCTTCAAGACAGAATTCAAATGGTGTACCGGAAACCTTTGTCCTGAACATCCGTCAAGTCGGAGTTCACGTCCACTCCAGCTTGGTCATTATTCCACGAAATATTCGCTGAATACTGAGACTGCCCTGCATCAGCCTTGGCATCTCGACTCTTGTTCTTCGCTCTCACAATGACAACGTATCCCGCAAACGACAAGATGAGACACACCATCGCCGCAATGCTCAAAATACAACCCTTCCGGTATCGTGGCGCATCATCCTGCGTCCATGCTTGTGGGCTCACGATACAGCCCACACAGTACGACACGAAAAATGCTGCTGACACAATGCTTTTCTTGGTATTCCCTTTGACGTTGCTTGCGATGATGCTGGCTCCAGTACTCAGCAGGGCTGAACTGCAACCACCAAGCCAAGTTGAGACGACAATGCCCCACTCAGCACCTTCGGTTGGCAGAGTCATCAGGAGAATTGCACCGAGCAAGGGCACGATGCACAACCCAATCCCAGTATATACCCTCGTTGCTGGAAGCCAGCGTGGAATGAGGGCACTAGCCCACACTGTTGTGGCGTTAACTGCCCCCGCAGGCATGCCCACCAACATGGTCTGAAATTTCGAGTAGCCGAAGCCGTTGATGACCGTAGCATTGAACTAAGAGGAAACCTTTTGTTCAGTACATGTCATTGAATAGGCTTTGTTGGGGTGGCAAAAGGTCGTTCCCACCTTGATGATTGGGGTTGTCAATGTGATGCATAGGGCAATCAAGCAGTAAATCCAAGTCATCGGCGACATGAGTGCCTCTCGAACTTGAGCTTTGTTGAATTCAGCACGATCTCGTGTGGCTCTATCGATAGCCAGTCTCTGTGTTGCGATCTCTCGTTCACGAGGGCTGAGAAACCAGGCTGTTGTGGTGTCTCGAGGCATCATGAAGATGAAGACGAGTCCCACGGCGGATGTCAGAGCACCGCAAATGAGAAAAAGAGCGCGCCAGGCAGCGAGATGTAGGTTCCCATTTCCAATACCATACATCAGGAGCGCGCCAATAATCTGCGAGACTCCATTCATAGAGACCCAGGTCGCGACTCTAATGGGGTGCTCATTCCGCTTGTACCAGATGCTGGTGATTATTATGAAAGCTGGCGAAACAGTGCCTGCAACATGTCAGATGGATGTTTTCAAAGGCCGAAACAATTATTATCTCACCTTCAGTGAAGCCCAAGAAGAATCTCGTAGCTGCAAGCCCGGCGAAGTCGTGCACAGCTGCGAGGCACATGTTTACTCCACCCCAAACAACGATGGTGATGCCAACATAGAGAGCGATTGGCAGTCTTGATAGTAAGAAAGCTGCAGGATACTCCGAACACAGCTGGCCGAGATAGAACAGTGATACGGCCCAAGAAAACTGCTCTCCTGTGAGGCGGAGATCCTCCCGAAGCCCGAAAATGGCAGCCTGGTTGATCGACTGCTTATCGAGATCTATCTGAAGAGATTAGTATCTGCTAAAGCGATTCAAGGACGATGGACTTTTTGCACTGAAAGAAGTACACGACGGCCATCAGGGGCATGATGACGGCGTCGAGCTTTCGGACAACCTTTCTCTCTTCATCTGGGTCAATGCTGAAAATTTGTGGTTGGTTTTCAACCTCTCCAGCTCCCGGGTCAATTTCGTTTCCCATCTTTTCCGATGTCACATTGGAAGATCTTCTTGACATGGCGAAATTTGAAATGGAAGGCTGAGTCGTCAAGATCAATTAGAGAAACTGTTGATCGACCAGTATGGCAGCTATGGAGATAAGATATCCCTGGGGCTATTTAAATACCCTAACCTGCTGTCGCTCATGGCTTCGAGGCTTGGCTGCCAGTCTGTGAATTTAATACAATTACCTGACCTCACACCCGTCCTGCACCCGGGGAAAAGGAAAAATGGAATCGAAAGCCGAGATATTCAATATCCACGGGTCTCCTATGCGACGGCTTTAGATGGGAATAATCATTTTCGGCTCTACATCCCGCTCTTTCGCAGGAGTATTCCAGCTCTGTGAGATTGCCGATACTGCAATGATCTGCTTGTTGTGACGGTCACCGAATGGAGACTCCGATTGTGCGTAAGCTGAGAGGTCGTTGCCCGCGTATGTTGTCGTTGGGGAAATCAAACCCAATTCTTGGCTTGCATGTCAGCCCCGGATGAAAGATCCGTTGCAGCGGTTTCCCAAACCGAGCCTGAGGGGTTGGTTGGTTATCATGAGGTTCTGCCGAGTCTCCCCCGCATCACTCCGCAATTGGCCCGGTCAGCCTCCGCATTCCGGCACCCTGACCCGTCCTGACAGCACTCCTTAAATGGACGACTACCAACAGAGTGAACACACCTGCTATCGCAAACAAATAACGCCGTTGAATTAATGCTGCAACTTAAGGGCCATGTCCTTGCTCAGGTCTTGCGTTCGACCCATCCCAAGACGGGCCCCATACAACGGGTTCCTGACTACAAGGTTACTGAGTAATAATCCCTTCAGATTCAAACCCCATAAGACGGAGAGATCTAGCAGCGCGAACCATGACAACCGTGGCACAAGCTGGTTGAACCCAGCGTCTCTCTTGTTAGCCACAGCCACAGCGACTCTGGGATACGCGCTCGCGAAGAGTGTCAACAAGTCACCAACATCAAACGCGATTTTACACGACGACAGGTTGCCTGCGGTTAACTATGCAACGTTCAACGACATGGACAAAGTAAGTATTTGTCTCTGAGTATCGTAGTACAGTCACACCTGACCCATACAAGGCCATTGATGAAATCCGACGGGAGCTGAGTGACACAGAAGACGTCATCTCAACTGATTCTGAAGACCTCCTCGCTCATGGTTACTCAGAGTGGTCTTCTGTCAACCTCGACACTCTTCCAGTTGCTGTGGCTTACCCACGAAGCACGGAGCAAGTCAGTGCTATTGCTCGCATCTGCCACAAATGGCGGGTGCCCATCATCCCCTTCAGCGGTGGCAGCAGCGTCGAGGGTCATATCACAGCGCCCTTTGGCGGCGTAAGCATTGATTTTGCACACATGGACAAGATCGTGAAGTTCAACAAGGATGACATGGACATCGTGGTGCAACCGAGCGTTTGTTGGACGGACCTCAATCGACAGCTTGCCCAGCAACACAGCGGCCTGTTCTTCCCCATCGACCCCGGTAAGAGTCCATTATCTAGGTAACGGTAACATCAAGGCGGGCAATACGACTGACACCTTGACTCTCCTCAGCCCCAAGCGCCAAGATCGGAGGCATGATAGGCACAAACTGCTCTGGCACAAATGCTGTACGCTACGGCACGATGCGAGACTGGGTCATCAACCTGACGGTCGTCCTTGCAGATGGATCCGTCATCAAGACTCGGCGCCGCCCGAGAAAGTGTTCTGCGGGGTACAATCTTAATGGCATCTTCGTTGGCTCAGAGGGCACCCTTGGGATCGTCACGGAAGCAACTCTAAAGCTTGCCGTTGTCCCACACCACTTCTCCGTCGCAGTCGTTCCCTTCCCGACTATCAGACAGGCTGTCTCAGCTGCAGCAGACGTCATACGCGCCGGGGTGCCAGTCGCGGCTCTGGAGCTTATGGATGAAGCTCAGATGCGCATCGTCAACCAGGGCGGTGCCACGAGGCCACGGGTCTGGCAAGAAAAGCCAACCCTATTTTTCAAATTCTCCGGTACACAAACTTCCGTTAACGACAACATCAGCAGCGTTCAGCGAATCGTGGAGCCCTACAGCCCTGACGTCTTCGAGTTTGCCAAAGATGAGCGTGAGCAGAAGCTTCTGTGGTCGGCCAGGAAAGAGTCGCTCTACTCTCTGCTAGCCATGCGAAAGGAGGGTGAGGAGATGTGTAAGTGCCTCCCCCTGGCCCCCTTTCCGTGCTGCCCAAAACTTACTCCGCACACTCCACTTGCCATAATTGCACAGCATCAAAATCATCCAGAAACAAAAACTGTCGTGCATGCCGGTGGGGGCTAATAGCTGCCGCTCATGCTGCGTTGGCTGACACGAGAACAACATTGCAGGGAACACTGATGTTGCCGTCCCTCTCAGCCGGCTGGCTAACATCGTCGAGGCCAGCAAGGACGAAGCGCAAAAACTTGGCCTCAACGCCTGTATCAAAGGTCACATTGGCGACAGCAATTTCCACGAAAATATCACCTACAACAAGACCATACCTGAAGAAGCCGCCAAGGCCAAACTTGCGGTCAAAAACATGGTCGCGCGCGCGTTGGAGATGGACGGCACCTCGACGGGCGAGCATGGAATAGGTTTGGGCAAGAAGGACGCCCTGTTGTCCGAAGTAGGAAATGATACGATTACCGTTATGGTGTGTTGGACCCTGAAGGCGGGGGTTGCTGGGGACATCCCTCTCGGCGATCGGGCTGACCTTTTCTTTTCCCGCCATGCAGAAGCTGATCAAGGGCACCCTGGACCCCAACTGGATCTTGTAAGTGGTTGACCCGCACGAGTCGGCACAGATCCTGAGAGTGTGCCATGCGCTAACAGCGATTCATGTCCCAAGGAATCCAGGAAAGATATTCGACCGGTAGGTTTACGGGAGAAACCAGCAATGACGAAACCACGTTTTG